TAAAGATTCTTGGAACACGAGATTGTGAGAATTTATAGTTCTTATTGACCTACAAATTCATGTTTCACAAATATTTTATTATATCTACAAATTTAAACTATTTCTCTTCAGACTTTAAAGATCCTAAAGTAGGTCTACTATTTTACATAATTAGGATGTTTAAAATCTATATATTTTATAAAACAATTACTTAATCATCAGTAAAGTCAAACTTATATGTATAAATTATGTACCAACATTTTATTTACAAATAGTTGTCAAACAAATATCTTCTTGGGTATTACCGATGGAAAATTGTTCAAACTTTCAAAATAAGTATAAAGCTTCTTCTGAATACATTTTCCCAACTTAAATTTTTGGTAATGAAGGTGATTGTCAAATCTTTAGTTCATTCTCTCTGAATCTAAATTTAAAAGCCAGGTATAATTTGTCAGAACTTTGAATAATCACCTTCACCAAAAATTTAAAAATATATTAAACTACCAAATGACTTCCAAATGATTATAAAAATTTGCATTTATTTACTCTAATTATTATTGTGATTTACTTTCAAGAAAACAAAATTAAAAAACAATAAAACCCAATTTTTATAATTATTTAGAAATAGTTTTTGGTGTACTCAACGGGTTTAAAAAGAAAATTCAATCTTCTTATTTTAGGTAGTTTTACTTTGTGATTTTAACATTTTTTGTTTTCCAATTACAAATTAAGTTAATCACAAAAGTATCCAAAGATATGTTTTTGTTCAAACAGTACAGTATGCTAAAATAATAGATCAGAACAGAAAATAACTGTTCATTAAATTTCTAAATGATTGTCCTTCGCCAGAAACAATTCTAATGTAGATTAACCCAAATAACAGATTATGTGTACATAAATATAGGAAATTCAATATTTTTGAATTTAACAAATATTTTAAATTCCCAAAAAATATTAATATTTAAAATACACTCCACACTTTTAACGGAGTTCATCAAGCGTAGGTAATAAACTATAAAGAATAGTCTTTAAGGTAAGTTGTTAGTGTACGTAGTATGAACAATAGTGAAAAAAATCTATATTCTCGCTATTACACCAAATTAATGAAACAAGATCGTAAACATATTTTTGTTAAAAATATGACTTTCCAGTAAAGTTATTATTGACGTCTTATTTATTCATAAATTGTAAAAAATATGAACTGAAGATATAAATTATTTACAAATTTTAGTTGAAAAATTTTTTTATGTTTCCATTGATAAGGAAATTAATGAAAACATGAAAACATTCGAATATTACACTTTTCCTTAAATTTCTCCAATACAGTAAATTTTAGAGAAATCATATTATACAATAATATCGCAAGCATCTTTAATTTGAAGGATCGACTTCAATCATAAATAACAAATACATTAAACTAGGAAAACGGTTTTCTATAAAGTGCCCCCCCCCCCCCCCCCCCAGATACTGTAACCAAAACGTAATTTACTCAATAAAGGATGAATCTATGTATAAGTTTAAATTTTGGTGTTTTTCTATTTATTATTTTTTAAATTATCACACCCTTAGAGACCCATCATCGCGAAAATGGTCAAAACAAATTCAAAGGATCTTAAAATGAGAATATCCGTCGATAATAATTAAAGATTAATAAAATCACTATTTATATATATATTTTTATTGGTTACTGAAGAAGTGAAAATAAAATGTAGGTATATTAGGGTGGCCCAAAAATAACATTTTTTTTATTTAAGTCTCCTATGAAAATATGTTAGTTTATCATGTTTTAAGAGCCCCTTTTTTTTGAGCTGTCCTTTGGAGGGGGCTCTTAAAATATGATAAACATATTTTCATACAAGATTTAAATAAAAAAAATATTCGCTTTTTTTCGACAACCCTAAGGTATATCTTTAAAAAAAACGCAAATTAAAAATATTTGAAATTAGGAAGATGTCTCAATGTGCAGAATAATGCTTGGCTGTGCCTGTCAAGTATCAGGATGATCAGAATTGTGATGTGTGAACGGCTCTTAAATGTCAAATTATTTAAAAATGTATACTTATTTTGATATTTATTGCAAATAATTTGTAGTGTATCAATTCAGGCTTTCCATAAATAAAAGTACAGCAAGACAGATAATATATATACAAAGCACTTTTTTATTATATAAAAGAGATGTAGGATATAATGCTGGTTTTTTTGTAGAAAATTTTTATTATATGATTTTGGATTACATATTCAACTAGCGAATTGTAAATAATAATTAGTAAACTTCTAGTCAAAAATTTCCTCAATAAATAAAATTTTAAAATGTGTCTTCTTACCTTGGTACCGAGGTATTTTGTTGTGTTTTTCATTTTAATTATAAAGTTGTCATTTATTTGTATGTTGAAAGAAGGCCTTTGTAAATTACATTGCTCTCTATGGATCTATTTTAACATAACATAACATAACATAGTTTTGTGGCTATAAGTTGCTATAACCTATCGTCGCAAAACTATTAATAATTTAAACATAGTAAGTAGTATTATTATAGCATCAAGTAATTTTTTAAAATAAAGTATATGATCTCAAAACAGAAATAATTTATAATAAATGCGGGTAAAAAGAGGGGTAAAATAACAATAAATTAAGGGAAATTCTTAAAAAGGGTATTATCACAAGAAAGTATATCCGTTCTGTTTATATATCAAGTATTGTTTGAGGTTGTTTTTTTTTATTTCTGTAGGCACTCTATTAAATTTTTTAAACCTTTAATAAAAATTGTATTTTGGGAACTTTTAGTGGTGGCTTGCCGTACATGAAAGTCAGATTGGTTTCTTGTATTATAGATGTGATATTGCGAATTATATTAAATTTTTTCTAATAGATCTGATGCGATGGTAATATGTCATTTTTATTTTATAAATAAATATCAGTCATGTACTGAACATAATTCTGAACTGAAAGCCAATTTATTTCTTTTAACATAGTTGCAATACTCATCCTTCTGTCCTTTATTAATAGAATATCAATAGGCGAAGTAAGAAGCCTAAATATTTTACATGAGCAGGCTTAAGAGGTAAAGGGGCCAATTATTTTTGGATAAATTTCTCAAACAAGTTTTTAAACCCTAAGCAAAAGGCGATATAGAATGGTTTTAAAAATCAAGGCTTGTGAAAATCATCACATGGTTTAACCTAAGTAATGCCAATCCTTCACAAACCAAAAAATCAACGTGCTAATACTAATATCGGCTTTCTATATTTCGTTCCAAAATAAATCATTTCTCGTTTTTGTTACGCTACGAGTTCACCCTTGCGGGCCTCAGTCTCGATAAGGCGGGAACCACCATTTTAGCGTCTCTCGAATTTCTGATATTTTTCTGATATTTACCATCACTAGATTTTCTAGCTTCTCTGTGAAAGCGTAAAACCGAAAGTGAAAAAAGGAATATTTTCAAAGACATCGTAATTCTAAAAATATCTCATCCTACAAATTCTCTGCTACTTGATTTAAAAATTCCAGATAAATACTACAGGCCTAACAAGGCTTTTATTTCAACCTTGTCTGTATGATCTAAGAAAGTAGAAGTATCTCCTGCTTATGATTTAAAACTTTATTCATCATTTTCTTATTAGATGTCAGGATTGAATTTAGAGCTATACCCAATGCAGTTATGCCTGCCGTTTACTGGGACTGTGCAAGGATCTGATAATTGTTTCTTTTTAATGTAGCAGATGTAATTAATTTCTAGATCTCACTGTTTAACTCTGCAGCTTCTAAGGTCTTAAAATTTCTTGGTAAAGGGTATTTGTTTAATAATTCCACTTTTTCGCACTTATTACCCATTTGTCAATGTGTTAATCTATTTTTTTAACAGAGCCAACTGAAGATAAGTAGCCGTAATAACATTTTCATCAGGATCTTTGCCAAATAACTGTAAAAAGTCATCCTCAAATTATATTTCTTCCAATTTGTTAACTGTGTGAAAAATTAGAATATCATCGTCTAATGTTTGGTTATTTTCTGGAAAACCTGCCTAACCTCTATGATCTGTACTACGATCTGAGGATTCCAACTATTCAGCAATGAGACTTTGTGCCCTTGGCAAACTTGGGCTACGACTAAGAGAGCAATTATGACCTGAAGATCCTGTCGAGTATCTTTAACCTGGACCCAGATGGTCTGACAACAGAACTTTTCGATTTACAAGTTATAAAAGTAATTTATTAAAAACGATTTTAAAATCTTGTAAATGCCCTTAAAAATTGAGATATTTATTTAATCACAAATCGTAATTTCCTGACCAATTGTATAAGAAAATACCCTTCCTAACAAAAATAGAATCATAAAAATCGGACAAAGTGGTAAAGACTTAGTGCTGATAATACAAAAAAAATGGAGAGTTTCCTGATTTTCTCATGAACCCCATTATTAGTTATTAGCAAATGGAACAACCCATGATGTATCTCCTTTTTAACAAAATAGAATCAAAAAAATCGGAAAACGTAGTAAAATGTTACCGCTGAACAAACATAAGATGTTGCAGGATAGAATTCGCTTTTATTAATTTTGTAGGATAAAATGTCTGATTTTAAATATTTGTAAATATAATAAAATAACCTTTACACGAATAATATCCCATAAACATTGTGGAGTTACAACATTCACATTAATATTAAAAAACGAAGTCTCTAGTGTCAAAGATATTGGAATTGCCCTGAATTCAAAGTTAAATTTTAACATTCGTGTAGAAAATATTGTCCAAAATGTTTCTATGGCACAGTCTAGCTTTATTATCATTAAAAATGAAGGCCCACCGCAAGTACATTTTCAAAAACCAATAAAAGATGACGCATCAAACTTAGACACTTCTGATATTTCTCTATCTTCTCCTCCTAGTTACATACTAGTTAATCTAATTGCCACAAAAGTAGCCTATGAACCTGCTCTTGTAAAACTAGCACAAAACAATTCTAGAGTTATTGCTTTGGATGGTGATATAAAAAATTCTACTTACTCAGAAAAGTTAAAGCAATATGACGCGTCCCCGGTACATTGAATGTTTTATTGTTAAACAAAGTATTGTTTCTAATGCAATTAGAGCTGCTTGCAGATATAGGACGGTTCCATTTGTTTCGAACTTTGCCACATTTTTCACAAAAGCTTTTGATCAAATAAGAATGGGCGCTATTTCGCAAAACAATGTAAACTTTATAAGATCACAGTGCGAAGTATATGAGAAGATGGTCAGTCAGATGGGTTTGGAAGATCTTGAACTATTCAGATCCATTCCTGGTAGCATTGTGTTCTACCCCGCTGATGATGTGTCTACCGTGGGTGCAAATATAAAAGAAATCACATTTACAAGACTCAACAGACCTAATACTCCTGTTATTTACACAAACGGTCACGTATTTGTGGTCGGTAAAGCAAATGTAGTAAAGAAAAGCGATACAGATCAACTTGTACTGATTGAAGGAGGTATAACCCTACATAAAGCTATTACAGCATTCCCAAAGCAGGTATTAATGCAAGAGTAATCGATCCATTCACAGTAAAGCCAATTGATAAAGAAACAATTGTGAACAATATCAAAGAAGCCGGCATCGGTGTCATAGTTGTCGAAGACCACTACTGGGAGAAGCTGTAATTGTTGGAGTTAACATGGAAAGGAACATTAATGTTCAACATATTGCAGTGCACACCGTTCCTCATTCTAGGCCCCCAACTGTTCTTTTGGACAAATACAGAATTTCTGCAAAGCACATTCATGCTGCAGAACAAGAAAAACTAAAACTTTGAGACATATTATTGTAAAGTTTTATTTCTAAATATTTCTTGTCATTTAACTTCAATATTATTTTATTTTTCAAGGTCTTTCAGGATACTTTATCAATGCATTCGTATTATATAACTCAATGGTTGAAGAAATACTTGAATATGAGTAAATTTTATGAATAAAACAGTTGAATAAATAGGGTTAAAAAATTATTTAAATTACTGGTTAAAGAAATATATAATTTTTGAATCATATGATTTTAGCTTACGACATAATAAAAAGACAAACTAGTTTTGTGGAGAGTACATAAACAACAAAACATAAATTTAATTCTTGTTTTAATTTTGGTACTAATTAAAAATGTATTTTATTTTCTATGCAACCTCATAATTAGGATGCCAAATTTATGTGAAATGCAATTTTTTACTTGTGTTGCAACCGAGTATCTAAAAGTTGCTGGACAATTTCGCTATAATTATGTGCTAGGATTTCTGTCAGCCAACAGAGCAGTAGTACTTCCTATGAGCCAGGCTTGATGCTCCGAAGAGCGATCACTTTCAAACAAGTTCTAAAGAAAAAGCTTGATGTAGTAGAAGATACTAACTACAGTTTTAAAGTCAGCAAGCCTATTTAACATTAAAACTTCTCAAAAATTAAACTGAACAGAAATTGTGTTACAAATTGTTTCCCAGTGTATTTGCAAGGACATACTATAAGCTTGATACATTTTCGAAATATTTACTAATATATTATTAGTTATAAACTTCCTTTACTGTTAGGATCAAATTATATCCAACAAACTCTCAAAAGCGGCTAAGATATCCGATTATTGTTAAGACCACATTGGACCTTGGTAGGAGGGCTTGTATGAGACTTGTAATCGCGCAGTGCGACTCTGGATCTTTGCCAAAAATGTTAGATACACTCCATCCCAGAAATAATGTCTCGGTTTCGAATCGTTCCGGGACTGATTCCCGAAGATATATGTGAAAATTCGGGAATTTGTGAAACGTTTTATTATTTTCATAAGAATGATTAATGGATTGACCGAAAGTGCTTAACCAAAGTTCTTTGTTCATACTTGATAGAAGTTTCAACTAGTTTTCTTTGATCCAGCGGCGCGGATCGGTAGGAAAAGTTGAAAAAATGTTTCTTTTGTTAAGTGAAAACAATTTCAATAAATACTTATTTAAATAAAACAAGAAAGTAGGTACGGGCAACGAAAAAATGGCTAAAAGCGGTCGAATATAACTAAATAAAAAATAGAAAATATTAAAAATATGAACGAAAAAAAAAAAATAAAGTTAAATAACAGGAACGCTTAAGAGAAGATTGGGTGTGGCTGTCTGCCATCTCAAGATCTCACTGTCTATGAAAGACTATAAAATTGGTTCTAAATGAAGTTATGATGCTGGAAATAAAATGTAACAATTTTTAATAATTATTCTAAAACAATAATAATGTCTTTTTAGAAAGTTGTCAAATTCAAAAAACACAAACAATATGCATACACGGAAAAAAAATTCACTAACCGTTAGCGAACTTTTACTTACCGCAATTAAAAAGTTGTATACTATATGGGACAGGTAAAATGTTTAATTATAGTAAGTAAAAGATTTATGAAATTAGTCACCTGTAAACAGTTCAATTAGTTTTTAGACGATCTATAGTTAGTGAACTATTTACTTGTGGTTAGTTTACATTAATAATAACAATAATAATGCTCTTCCTAATTTACTTCCTTGCTAGTGAAGTTTAACCCCAAAAGCTGAGCTTGTGCTGGAAAAGGGACGGCTATTAATATCAATAATTTTTTCAATGTCATCGGCCTCTAATGATTTTATGTGAGTTTAATTTTCTTAAATACGTTTTATATATTTCTGGGAGAAAGTAAAATAATCGTGGTGCTAAAAATCGGAAATACCTAGTTCCTATTGTTTTTTTTTAGGTGTTTTTGTTTGTACAAAATCTTTAGACTTATTTCTTGTTTGATAATGATGGTGTTTTTAAGTCAGCACGGTTTTTAAAAAGGTAAATTACCAAATTAAAAATATATAGTTGTCTCAAACTCATTACATGTACTTCTTTAAATAGGAGCTCTGTGCTGTATTTCATATTCTTAAAAGTAATTACTTTTAATATTTTTCTTTGGAGTATTTCTACTTGTTCCAAATGACCAGGCTTTCTCTATTCTTTGTATATTTTTAGTGTTCTTATCTTTTTTAGTTATCCCTCTTCTTTTGTCGTCAGTTTAAGTTGAATGTGTTTCTAGTGATTTGTCCTCTATGTCTTCGGTTTGGTCGTTATGCATTAATGTGGTAGGACTGTGTGCTGTTTTCAAATTGTTGGACTTAATCTTTGTTTGTTCGACATCACTACCATTGGAAATTCTTCTGTTTTCACGTATATCCATTTGGGCTACCGTCAATATTAGGGACAGTAATTTTGTCACTTTCCATAAAGATTAAGTAAAACCATAATATGTTTACACTTTTTAATCTTCTATAAGTGTGTACTAACCTAATAAAAGCAACAAATATTATTAAAACACATTTGTAAGCTAAAAAATTAAGAATATGCATTTATTCACGACATTTTCAGGTAGCCATTTTGTTTTGAATTTTTTCGATTTGACAGTCACACTAAGAGCGCCTGTGCGTGATCTTAGCGATGTTTTTAATTGCTTTCTGTTATTTGTTATAAATAAATATATTTATGGTAATACCGTTCTATATTATTTTTTGTTTATGAATAATATGACAACTAATATTTTTATGTCTATAAATGTGGAGTTGTCTAACATAGTAAAAGAACATACATAACAGGAATGACAGTGGCTCCAGGCCCGATGATAAAACCAGAATATAAATGTGTTTATTTGAGACTTTTCATTTCAATTATTCAATTTGAGCTGTGTCCAGGCCGTTGGAGTCTATGCCGGTCGGCGTAGACACGTATGGGTTGATGTATTTTGGTGGCGGCGAAGCCGCCACTTTGCGACTTATCGTAGCCGTCACCCTACGATAAGTCGTTGCGTCGTTTTCTTGTTGCATATTTATGGACTGGTATGCGCAATCGCAAGAAATTATGTGAAAAAGTTTACGTTTTCAATTCAATTTGAGCTGTGTCCAGGCCATTGGAGTCTACGCCGGTCGGCGATAAATCGTTGCTTCGTTTTCTTGTTGTATATTTATGGACCGGTATGGGCAATCACAATTTTCCATTAACTACTAATTTTATCACAATTCGGCAACGTTGCAATTATATTTTCCAAATTCAACAGAAACCATCGAGTTTCGATGTTTACAGTCGTCAAAATGCTGATTTTTATAGAAATTGAATAATTTTTTTTTGGCTTAAAAATTGCTATTTTTTTTATGTACTATTTAAAATACGCTCTTTCTGATAAAAAATAAATGTCTTTAAAATTCCACTGTCCCTAAAGTCGTCCGTACCCTTCATTTGTTTTAACTCGTTAATGGTATGCAATTAAGCTTTAACATGCTCCCCTCCAAAAATTACACTATAGTTAGCTCCATTTTCATCAAAATTGATAACACCTAATTTTAAAATAAGTTGTCCAAAGACACCATTGTTTTCATGTCAGCCACATGGATCCTTTCATCCCTGAGTGGATATACGTCTTTTACAATACCCTTTGACCAGACATTTGTTGGATTTTGGTAGTCAACAATGATGACGACGTCACTAATCTGTTTGCTTTTCCATTTGGATCTTATGTGTAGGGTAGGCATATTCTTTGATGCAGTGACACCAAAACTTGTTACTTAAATTGTGGCTAAACCACTGTTTTTTTTTTACTTAGTCGGTACTAATGAGAAAACTTCCCAGAACCTTAACTTCTGATGAGTTACCTATAATAAGGTCCGAGGCAAAAAATGATTAGGCATAAGTGCTACTACGTCTTGAATTTTTAACGGAATTTGTACTAAAGGCCTGGAGTTAACGATGTTTTCTACTTCAAGGAAGAACGTGCGGAGCACTTTATTAAATGCGATCTTTTCTTTTAAAACAGTGTTTAAAAATCTTTTGACGGTTAATTGACGTTCTCACATGACTGGTGATAGCCGGATTAAAATGCCACCTAGTGTTTATTTTAACAAACGGCTTATTATAAGTTTTTGCTGATTTAACTACTTCAAAACTACTTGAAGTTTATTTATTTGATTCTTTTAAATTTTTGCCGTTATCGCTGAATGTTTCAGTAATCTATTCAAACAAGTAAGTAAGACAATTTAAGGTTCAAAATAGTCTAATCCCCAAAAGGAAAATAGTTTTACATGTGGTGCATGGTTTGTAACATGAAAACAGACATGGTCGGACAACTTGATTAACTAAATTTCTTGATTTGGGAATCCAATACTTTTGTCTCATTATACAGGGTGTAACTAAATAAGTGTAAAACATTTAAGGGGGTGATTCCTCATTGAAAAAAAGATAGGATATTTCATATAAAGAAACTTCATTGGAGCAACCCTTGAAGGTACAGCCCCTTAAAGGGGGTACATAAAATTTGTTTAACAATTCTTTTCACAAGCACTAAACAAGTTACAATATTAAAATTAAACTGACATTTTCTACTACCAAAAAGACACTTAGCCAGTAATTTATTTGGTTTACCCCATGGTTGTAAGGGGTGGAAAACGTAACCCCTAAAATTTCGTTCCAATGTAACTTTTTGTCTTATTATTTTTTTACCATTTAAAAATTTATTTCCGATAG